TATATATATATGTATATATATATATATATATATATATATATATACATACATATATATATATATATATATATATATATGTGTGTGTGTGTGTGTGTTACTTGAAATCTTCTAAGGTTGTTAAATCATTTGAACTTTAACCTTTAATATCGAAGTAAACCCACCTTCGTCATCTAAAAGCCCCTTCTTTTCAATCAAACTTATGTTTACTATCTATTCACCAACGTGGTAATCACGCGTATTAAAAGCTTATTAAAAGAACCTTAGGTTAGCTCCGTTTTTACAAGCTTTTATTTAACTCACTTCCTCTGTCGTCAGTCTGTCTAGACGGAAACGCAGGAGTGAAAATTCGGAAACTTCTACATGACCGATACGATTCACAGTTGGCACGTGTGTCAAGACACGAAGACAATGCAATCTGAAACTAAATTTGACTTAATTGGATTTCTAATTAATTTTTTATGAATTAATAAAAATTTGGACCGAATTAGTAGGCATGTCTAGCCAACCACACCACACGCGTCAGCACCTTCAATAGCTGCGCCATCACGTTCAATGGCTGCATTCAAAAACCATTGCGCGCCTACTGAACGTGATGTTCAGTTGGCGCGCAATGGTTTTTAGTCATGTAACTCTATTGTAAATAAAACATGTAAAGTACTGAAAAAAAAAATTCATAAAAAACGTTTAATAACAAGCTTTTATGTAATAATGCACTAAAAAGTAGAAAATAAATTATAGACTACTATTTAAATAACTATAAAGAAAAGCGTGGGTGTCTTCCTTAACATTAGTAAAGGTATCCAATAGATATTAAAGTGACCCACGCTTTTCTTTATAGTTATTTAAATAGTAGTCTATAATTTATTTTCTACTTTTTAGTGCATTATTACATAAAAGCTTGTTATTAAAACGTTTTTTATGAATTTTTTTGAATTTTTTACAAGCTTTTATTTAACTCACTTCCTCGTCAGTCTGTCGTCAGTCGTCAGTCTAGATAGAAACGCAGGAGTGAAAATTCGGACAGTTCTACTTGACCGACACAATTCACAGTTGGCACGTGTGTTAAGACATGAAGACAATGCAATCTGAAACTAAATTTGACTTAAATGGATGCCTAATTAATTTTTTATTAATTAATTAAAATTTGGACCGAATCAATAGGCATGTCTATCCAACCACACCACACGCGTCATCACGTGCAATAGCTGCGCCATCACGTTCAATAGACGCGCAATGGTTTTTAGTCATGTCACACTATTGTAAATAAAACATGTAAAGTACTGAAAAAAAATTAATTAAAAAACGTTTTAATAACAAGCTTTTATTACTAAAGCACTAAAAAATAGAAAATAAATTATACACTACTATTTAAATTACTATAAAGAAAAGCGTGGGTCTCTTCTCAAATATTAGTAAAGGTATCAAATAGGTACTAAAGCACTAAAGTGACCCACGCTTTTCTTTATAGTAATTTAAATAGTAGTGTATCATTTATTTTCTACTTTTTAGTGCATCATTACATAAAAGCTTGTTATTAAAACGTTTTTTAATTAAATTTTTTTCAAGCTTTTATTTAACTCACTTCATCGTCAGTCTGTCGTCAGTCGTCAGTCTAGATAGAAACGCAGGAGTGAAAATTCGGACAGTTCTCCTTGACCGATACGATTCACAGTTGGCACGTGGGTCAAGACATGAAGACAATGCAATCTGAAACTAAATTTGACTTAATTGGATGCCTAAATAATTTTTTATTAATTAATTAAAATTTGGACCGAATCAATAGGCATGTCTATCCAACCACACCACACGCGTCATCACGTTCAATAGCTGCGCCATCAGGTTTAATAGCTGCGCCATCACGTTCAATAGACGCGCAATGGTTTTTAGTCATGTAACACTATTGTAAATAAAACATGTAAAGTACTAAAAAAAAATTCATTAAAAAACGTTTTAATAACAAGCTTTTATTACTAATGCACTAAAAATTAGAAAATAAATTATACACTACTATTTAAATTACTATAAAGAAAAGCGTGGGTCCCTTCTCAAATATTAGTAAAGGTATCCAATAGGTACTAAAGTACTAAATTGACCCACGCTGTTCTTTATAGTAATTTAAATAGTAGTCTATAATTTATTTTCTACTTTTTAGTGCATCATTACATAAAAGCTTGTTATTAAAACGTTTTTTATGATTTTTTTTACAAGCTTTTATTTAACTCACATCCTCTGTCTGTCTGTCTGTCGTCAGTCTAGATCGAAACGCCAGAGCGAAAATTCGGACTGTTCTAAATGACAGATACGGTTCGTAATTGGTATGTGGGTCAAGACATGAAGACAATGCACTATAACATTAAATTTGACTTAATTGGATGCCTAATTTATTATTTTATGACTTAATTAAAATTTGGACCGAGTTAGTAGGCAGTTCTATCCACACGCGTCATCACGGCCGAAATGGGCGTGGAGCGAGTGGAGCTCTACGTCAAAAGCGCGTCATCACGTTCAATAGGTGCGCGATGGTTTTTAGTCGGGTCAGCAGTCTGGTTCTTTACCATTAGATTGCGCCATCCCATAATATTTTACTGAAACTTTAGCTATAATCTTCGCAATGGTTTTCAGTCATGTAACTATTGTAAATAAAAAAATGACTAGTAAAATATAATTTTTTTTCATAAAAAAAAACTTTTTAATAACAAGCTTTTATGTAATAATGCACTAAAACGTAGAAAATAAATTATACACTACTATTTAAATTACAATAAAGATGCCAAGATTTATTACCGACTTCTACAATAGCATTATATATTTGAAATATTATTGTTTTTACTGCCAGTCTTTCTTAAGAGTATTCATTTTTTATCTGTCATTTGCATCATTTGCATAATCAATAAAAAGTAACTTAGGTGTTGAATGATTAGAAAAAGGTGAATATAAGCCAGTGATACTAAATTTACCAACGTACATGGCTGGATTAGTCTGGCAAACCTAACAGGTTTTAATTATATAACAATATATGTTTGAATAAAAACAGTTAAAGAAAACTTCCGAATTAAATGATCCTCATTAAATGATACTCATATCGAGTAATGTTTCGTCTATTGTCTGGTAATAATTAGATGTTTTGACCCTACTGTCTAGATATTTTCTGTATGTGATAATGTAGTTTTCGACCCAAAATTTTTTTTTTAAAATTCATAATTGAACTAACAAATTGTTTTTTAAAGATATCAATAAATACTTACCATGAACTTCCATACAAATGAAAGAATATCTTTCATGACATTCGTCATCATTTAGGTGCGTTAAATACAATTGAAGGCAGTGTTCTTTTCCACCCAAGTTGTTGGGTTCGTTCTTGCCCCACATCGATGTTAGATTAGCCTTTGTACCATCTGTCCACAACCATTCACCTTCTTGTAATTGGTCACTAGCTCCAAGCCACACTTATGGAAGAAAGTAATCTACATAAATATATCGTACCCTTTGATAATTTTTTAAAAGTTAAAGGGGTGGGCGCGGAGGAGGGTACGCCATGGGCGCCGACCTTTAGGTGGATCCAAAATGGATAAAAAATAATTAAAAAGCTCATTTAAGCAGAAGTTAAGAAAATAAACTATTACAAGACTTTACACACTGATTTTAATGTTTTTTGTCTGAATTATGGAAGGGTAGTAACCGCTCTACAACTTTTTCATGGGGGGTGGGGGGAGTTGTTTTTTTTTTAATTGGAAGGATGTAAACCGAATTGGTGAGTAGATAAACATTTTAACACTTAGAGAAAAAAAAACTATTGCGTTAACGCATGTTGTACAATTTCTCCAGCCAGTTATGTTAAGAAATAACACAATTAGTTCTTTGTAATTACAAGTTACATTTCAGTCAAATTCAGCTTGAAGATGAGAGACTTTTACTTGATCGTAATACATGTTGCATGCATCCATTGTATTTTAAAGAAATAAAGATCGCCGATTTCTGTGGCTATCTGATTTGTAAAATAACACGCGGTCGGAGTAGGTGTAGTGGATGATGTTACTGCTTAGTAGAAACTGTATGAACTTATGAAAAATAGAAGCAGGCTTTCTGTATTCAGAATAACCTAATAAACATTTATACTACAAAATTGATAAAGTGTACAAAGAGATGCGCGTTTGATTGCTTGTTTCATAACAATCCCCCTAATACTGCAATGTTCATATAGTTAAGGCCTACTAAACTGAATACCTCGTCCACCTTCGCTAAGAACTGTATTAGGTGGTCTGAGAGAATTGAGAAAGTCCAGAACAAAAGGTGAATAAACTTTCGCCAGGCTCCTGAGTCCATTGAAATTTGAGCAGTATTTCTTCAAAGAATAAAATAATATAACATAATTTTTAAATATGCTAAGCTCTAATTATATATCACTAAAACGGTAACTGTATGGCAATAAAATTATTTATTATTTAATTTTAATTAAATACTGTCAAATGTGTTGACTTTAGCGACACATATCCTAAACATTTTATTTACCTGCGCTTGAGCCCAGTTCATTTTTGTTGTGAATAGCTCGTAGCAGATGTTTTCAAACTCCTTAGCCGTTTTGCTTATGCACATTGCTGGAGTTTTTAAATAAAATACAATAGAAAGATTTCTATAACAATACCATATTAAGGGATAAGCTCCGTTTTATTTTGTTGTTTTATTTTTACCATTTTAGATCTGAAGCCTTTTGAATACTTTAACCATGATTGACATATGAAAATAAGTATTAAACAGCAAAAAGAAATGTTTGAAAACAGTTTTGGTTTTCATAGAAAAAAAAAACCCAACAATCTCCGCCTTTTTTAATTGTTTGTTACTTTTAAAAATACTAATCCTCTTTTATTTCTGCTTGTATAGTAATCAAACTTAAAATGATTATATTTCAGTATATAATAAAACTTTTGTCACGACAACTTTTTGAAATATCTACTAGTAAGAATTTTATAAGGTGTAAAATATCACACCCTGTTTAGTACTCAAAAGTTTCAAAATTTGCATATTATTCACAATATACTTTTTTTCTATGAAAACCATCACAATTCTCTCGTGATAGAAGTTGTATTTTTGCATGAAGAACAATTAATGAAAATATGGTGGGCATTGATTTATAAATAAAACCCCGCGAACTGAGAAAAACAGAGAAAGTAACGAAAAGTAGGGCACGGAAATACCATATCTGTATACATTGCATAGCTGAATGTAATCTTTGGGTGTTTCTAAGTTTAAGATTATCAAATACATGAGAACTTTAGCTATAAAATGACGCCAAATACAATAAGATGACGGATATAAAACTTTTCGCAGAGAGCTTGTAAGATTGGGAAAAATTTAAAATTAATTAATAAGGTATTAAAAATTGTATTTTAAAATATATTTTTTCTCAATAAAGTTATTATTTTCTTAATAAAAAATAGACAAAGTATCCAAAAGTGCAAGAAACCTATTATGACGAAAAAACAGGAATTAACAAAACTGTGTTTTTAAAAAAGTTATAGTTAAAATCGTACATATGGTGCGTATTTTTAGTTCGATAGCACTTTATCGCCCCGCAGATAAGTGTATCAATTTAGATTTACCACTGTAAAACCAATGCATATTCCACTCAAAAACATTTAAATTTAAATATTTAATGTGTGTAATATATGTTTTTTTTGTTTATTTTTTTTGTTAGCATAACGATAAATAATCTTTAAAGGAATGTTTAGTGGCATGCGGGTCCAAAAAGATTTACCGGCTATTATTGTGTATAAATCTCTGTTGATGTAATAATAGAGAATGTTAAAAGAAAAGCTGTTAGATATTTACCTTGTGTAAAAACAACTTGTGCTACAAAAGCTAACAATATGCATGTATAAATCTTCATTGGGTTGATCCACAACATAACGACTGGAATAAAACCTGATCAAACAAAGAATTTTAATTCAGGTGGGTTAAAGTACCACTTTTAAGAATAATAATTTTAAAATGTATATTTGAGATTAATGCTAGAAAAATATGATTAAATCAAAAAAGATATTTAAAATCTAAATAAAATAAATCAATAGTTGAGTTTATGTTACGTGTAATTGAGAACAAACATTAAAAAATAAATAAAATTATATATATATATATATATATATATATATATATATATATATATATATATATATATATATATATATATATATATATATTACTAGATTATCCGTTATCCTTGGATAAATTTGAGTTTCGGGGATCATCCATAATTAATATCACGTTTGTTTGAGGATTTTTATCTTTTCCCTCCCTACTGTCACACATCTTCACAAATAGCCAGCCCAAACATTTAAAAAGACGTCAGACCTCAGACCACAAGTTTTTGTCTTTAAAACACTGATACCCGCTAAGCATGAGTGTGGTTACACTATCCTTTCATATGCTGAGGTCACAGAAACAGGTGGGCACTGCATCCCGCCACGTCCCGATTGGCAACTTTATCATGCACATAAAAAAAAAATCACACTTAATCTTGTTTTTATCTTTTAAAACGCTGATTTCTTTATATAATGTTTTGTGTGCTCGAACCTCATTTGAAGAATAAAAGAATAACGTTTAAAACTAACGGCAAACTAATAATAATGCATTAGATCCGATTGCGTGTGTTGTGATACCCCAGTTTCATTAAAAATTAATGACAAATATTGATGTGTTTCGAACCCATAGCACTTGCATGGTGCATATTACACTATTATGTCAGCCAGCTGGATACATACGATTGGGTGCAAATTGGATTATTTTACATAGTCAGCGTAAACAAGGTTAAATTACGCGAATATTAAATTAAATTATATCCTATTTTAGCCTATTCCATTGCTAAATGAGCAAAGATTTATATAAAACTAGCGTACGCGCGGGGATAGATGAAAGTCTGACGAAATATATGAAGGGTTTAATGAATTCTTTATCAATCCTATGTTCTTAGACGCGCAACCTTGTTTTCAAAACTGAGTTATGTAAATGTAAAGATTGCCTGCGCTTGGATCATAAATATCGAGAAACGGGATTGCCTATACTACCGCATGAAACCTTGAGTGTACGTTAATCACTCACCGAAATAATGAGGTAGAACAAATTTCAGAGACCGCCCATGTGTCAGGGATGTAATGGGGCGCTCTCGGAAGCCCCCGATTACACACCCGCAGATAAGCCATAGTGCTCGCCAGGGGAACCTGGGGCGCTTCTGGTCGTGTTATCTACGTGGCGCCGGCGTTTGCGCCTGTTGAAGTTTTATCGCTAAATACAGTAGTACCCATTTTACCCGCTATGCAGGACGCACGATTACCGGGTGCTAAGTGTTAACATAGCCGCTCTGGAAATATGGGCGCCAAATTGTGTATTGACGAACATCACACCCTTCCGTGCACAGCTCATATAAACATTAAATTATTTTGTTAACAGAAAGCTTCCTTGGGTATTCTCATCAACTCCCTAAAGTTGTATAGCACTCGTGTGAAATGTGTCGAACCGCATCTGACTTTCATTTTTTTTAATATACCGTATATAGAGAAAAATCGCACCCTTCTGTGGCGCCGCTCTTGCAAAATAAAAATAGCTTATTTTGCAGAACCCTTCCCTGCAGTGTTCTAATCAACTTCTCAATGTTTCATGGCGATCGGATGAACGGCGTCAAAACGCAATCGACTTTTATTTTTATATTCCGTATAAAGTGAAAAACAAATCGCGCAATATCGGGGCGCCACCCCTGAGAATTTTTTTTTACTTCGCAGAAAACTCACCAGGAATATTTTCAACAACCACCCCTGAGAATTTTTCTTTACTTCGCAGAAAACTCACCAGGAATATTCTCAACAACTTTCCATAGTTTCATTGCGATCGGATGAAAGGTGTAGTAATGCATAAAAGACAGACAAACAAACAGACACACATACATTGCTTTTTATTTAAACAGATATTTGAGGCCTGAAATAGTTAATTATAGAAACTCATTATCGCTCGCAAACCGTCTAACACGAAATAAAAATGTATGTTTTTCCACATGAAACAAAAGCCAATATGATTCCCTATTATTTCTGAAAATAGTATAGAAACCTGGAGAAGCCATTACTTGGAAATGTAATTAGATTGTAAAACGGTATCCTACTTAATGTAGAGATCACTATTCAGTCAACAGATCAGTCTTACCATACAAGAGACAGGCTTATCATACAACAGACCAGCCTCATTCAACAGACGAGTCTTACGATACAAGGAATCAGCCTCTCTAAACACACCAGTCTTACCAACATCACAACAGACCACTCGTACCATCCAAGCGATCAGCCTCTCTCAACAGACTAATCTTACCAAACAACAGACCAATCTCTCTTAACACACTATTCTCAATTAAAAAGAGACCAGTCTCTCTCAACTGAACAGTCTTATCATAAAAGAGATCAGCCTCGCTTAACTGACCAGTCTTACCTCACAATAGATCAGCCTCTTTCATCTGACCAGCCTTTCCATGTATGAGAGGGTGAAATGTTCATTTGTCTTATTATTATTTTATTGTGTGGGAAGCGGTTCGCCAACGTTGAACTGGACAGTGGCTACGAAATATCCGGCCTAGCGGTATATAACGCCGAATGAAGTATTGGGTCGTTCTTTTTTTACACCATAGCTAGTAGTGAGAATGTATATCTTATCTCAATTGAGCGGTTTTTTTATGCGCGGTAGGGTGAGTTATGTATGTTTGAAACAAGACGAATAAACAGCTTTCTTTCTCGTTGCGCGCACGTGTCACTTTTAATAATTTCTCTTTGGGATCATCATGAAACAACTGAGTTTACCTTTATACGTCAGCAGTTAGGAGTGCAGAGGGTAGGAGGAGGGAGGTTTTGACCTTACCCTATAGACTCATAAAATGAAAGCTTTTTAAAAAAAATTTTTTTACATGTATTGTCGCTTTATGCCTACTATTTCAAAATTGTTAATGTAATATAAAAAACTTTTTAAAATAAACCACATAAACACACACACACACTCGCTCTCAAACGCACACTTACAGACACACACATGCACACAAACACAAATATACACAGTTATTCGCGCGCGCACTTTGCTCATGGTCTGGTATTAGTTTTCCGTTGAGAAATTAAGGTTTCTTCCAATTTTAATTTGCAGTAGCATTTTGGCATATGCCTTTTTAGCGCAATTTCCATTCTGGAGAATTGCGTTTATTAACTCATCATTTCTGGGAATGGATGGATGAATGAATGAATGAATGTATGGATGAATGTGTGTCCGGGCTTTAAGTCGTATCTCCTCCTCAACGAAACAATATCGATGACTAGTTCCAAAAGCAATTGTGTTAAGCAAGTTACGAGAATGAGCATAGGCCATAAAAATTCCGGGTTTCTTTCATGTATTTCCCGGAAAAGCCAAAAAACCTTTACAAAATGCAGTTTTTGGCCCATATCTCGGCAACCAGACCACTTAGCGACTTGAAACATGTACCAATCGATTCCCGCCATAATTTAGAACAATATTGCCGAAGAAAGTTTTCAAAAATATCCTCTCGTTCGGTCACAACTTTTAAAATTACATAAACACCTACAGACCGATCGTTCTTCTAGCTTGAACGCACCCAAGCATTATACGTCAGAGCTATTTTTAGATAACATAAGGAAATTGCGCATAAATGTCACTAGACTTTTTTAATTAACTTGTTTCCTTTTTAGTCTACCAAATTTTATAATTATGATTCTAAATATTGAAATGCGAGTTAAATTTAGAAAATTATTAATGAAGTCTAAAAATGGATTCGATATTTTTACTCGTTTGACATTAGAAATATTATTATATATAAATTAAAATTAAAATACAAAATATGATTTCCTACCTGTTTTGGTGACGTGCTGTTCAGTTTTATGAAAGATGTTCTATCCAGGACTCAAAATAGGATACGGTAGGTTCTTAAGACACAGCGAGCTTTTAAAGAAGTTTTTTTCAAACACGTCTACTTTTCTGAGAAGCCTGATAAGGATACGAATAATTCACGTGTGCCACAGAGTAGAGTACGCTCACATACTAGGTAGCTTCAAGAGGATCCAGAAACGCATATCACTAGCATGCAAGCCGCTTATCTTATAAATTATGTGTAATTTTTTTCTAAATCATGTAAGCCGCCACTTTTATATCCGCGTATGAGGAGTTTATTAAATGTAATATAATCGTGTAAAAAGAAGTTTTTACATCCTGAGGAAGTATTGTTATCTTGCAAAAAAAAGCGAATTAAATTTTTTTCAATTCTATACGTTTAACACTTTCATGTGTAAGCTAATTCGTCTTGCAAATTTATCTGTATGTGTATGGTGGCCTTTTTTTAACAGACACTGTCTCTTAACAATTCTAATTTTGGTGTAGAAAAAAATATTTGATTCTGTAAAGTCAAGTAGCAGCCTATCTATATATATAATTCTCTTCTTCGAGCCGTTAGAAAACAAGCTGCAAACGCTCTCCCTACCTCCCCACCCCTACATGGTTTTAGTGAGCTGTGTTCACTCTAAATGTTTACAAGCAGAGCCAACGATTTTAAACGTAGGGGGGGGGGGGGGGAGGGGGAGGGAAGGAAGGGGGGGGGGGGGGGTTATGGTCCTTAACGAGCTACTTATAGTGTTTTAAAGAAATATTTTCAGTGTCAGCGTTGGTACTGTCGAATTCACAAATTATGAATTATTGAAAATTAGAAACAACTAAATAGCGGCGTATGTTATGCCGCGGGCCGGCTCGTTTTCTTTAATTCTACTATGTATAATTCAATAACGCAACTCAGAATGTTCTTTTAATTTATAATTTTCTCCCGTCGTTAGTCAACCCCCCCCCCCCCTCCCACCAGTTACAGCTTCTGTATGGTTTTACCAGAAATCACTCAAAAGTTGGCAGAAACCATCGTGATTCATCATACACGTCTATATGAAAGTTCATCAACCTAACTAAAACGGTATCCAACTAATCGGTATTTGAAAAACGTGAAATATAGTACAGTATCACTTTCGGATATCGAATGTTACTCAAAATATGAAATGCAATCTTACGTACATGATTTAATACTTATATAATCAATTTCATGTACCTTACTAAAAAAAATGTGCCATGTTATTATGCTCCAGAGGAAATTAATTTAAGTCGATGTCTAGTATTCAGAAATAGTTAAAAATTGATGGAAAACTGTGCATACAATATAAAACAAGGCGGTGTAAAACCTTCTCGATAGAAAAAATATATGCACGATTGCAATACTTCCTGTATATACGAGACAGAAAATCAGGAACCAATTTTATCAGCGATAAAAAAAAAAGGCAAGTTCGTATTAATTTCCTGAGTTACTCCTCTTTTGAGCTTTGCAGAATAAAAATGGTGAACAGAAAGATGGGCAAAGGAAAAATGTGCAACGGAAACAGACAGACAGGTAGGTAGGCGTGTGGGTGGGTGAGTCGTTTGGGCAATTGGTAGGCGGTAGGTGCCGGTGTACGCGTAAGTGTAAGTGTATTTGTACATGTAGGTCTTTATGGTCAAATCACTGTGAACAGAGTTTCTTCCAGGCATCCAGAAAGCCTACCGCCCCCCCCCCCCAAGAACAAAATGGAATTTATATAGAAAAATATATACTTTTAACAGTGCCCCCCCCTGAAAATTTCAAAAGATAAAAGTCTGGAAGAAACACTGATTGTGATCTACATCCGCTGTAGACAAACTGCCTGCGGAGTGCGGATAACCCCTTGCTTGTGTTCAAACAACGAGCGGGCTTATCACAATTTTGGTCGAACAGCAGAACAACATCTATGATAGAAACATCTTAGCACTATGTGATTGTATGCATTTTAGAATGTGAGGCGCGTTTATTATTCCATAAAAATATACAGACGTTGGGATGAGTTACATCATACACATAGACAATTGCAAACTCAAACATGCACGAATAAAAAAAACACACACCCATACACACACTCACACACACACACACACATACACATTGACATAATCCTCATTGGTGAGCGATCTGTGTGTAATTTACTATTTGCGCATTTTTTTCTGTGTTATTGATAACATTTCTAAATTATTTAGATGTTAGTGATGAAACGGAAAAAAACAGCAGTGAAAAAGAAATAAAAAAAGCACTTTTTTCTTTATTACCTGGGTTAGCTCCCATTGAATTTTAAAGTAACAGGAGAACATTTCTTTTTTAAATTACGGTTTAATGGGAATAAATATGAAATTGTTTCATTTCGTAACTCATCTGAGGCTACCTCGCTTGTGTTGTTTTTTCTTATATGGATATTGATATTAAAATAAATATTTATTGATATAAATATGTATTAATTTTCACATGTTATTAGTACGAATATTTACTACAATTTACTGTTACTATTTATAAACATCAACACGCTATTCCAATTGATGAGCATTATTAAATATTGACTTAAATAGATATTATATATTATGGAAAATACATTTCTTTTAATAGGGAGTTAACTGATAGCTGAACTTTCCACACTTAAATCTTGATCACAAAAATTCCATATTCACATATTTCATGAAACAAAAAATCTCTGGTTTAAAGTCTTATGCTTACATTACAAACTTTACTTTCTATTGAGATTTTTCTTCAATTTCCTAAACAATTGTGAAAATAATTCCGATGTTTTATACGTTACTAATCACAACAATTTATTTGATATAGGCATTATTATTGTGAAACTAAACATTTAAAGTAACAGAAAATGACAAAAGATAACACAATTCGTTTTGAATAATAAATTTATTTTCTGTAGAAAATTAAGTCGTTAAGCACCTATACATGGTTAACATGGTGTAAAAAAAACACTTGCTCCTAGAACGAATATTTTGTTACCTCTAAAATGCATTACATTTGTCTATGTTTTTATACTAACAAATATTAAATATAACTAGAATACCCGTCATCCGTTGGATAACTGTGGGTTTCGGGGGTCATCCATCAAAAAACATCACGTCTGTCACTCAGAGGCATAGCGACCCTTCCCGGCGCCCGGGGACAAACTTTTCGATTTGAACCCCCCCCCCCCCCCGCAAGATTTCGATTTGCAACCCCCCCCCTCGAACTTTTGATGTGCACCCCCCCCCCCCCACTCAAACTTTCGATTTGCACCCCCCTCAACCTTTCAATTTATTTTTCCAAACCATTTTGGCGCCCCAACATATGTCCCCCCCTTCCCCCTCCACCTCCCCTCCCCCCCCCCTCCTCGCTACGCTACTGCAGTGTCACTTATCGTCACAAAAAACAGACCCCACATTCAAAAATATGTTTTTTATCTTTTAAAAACACCGAAAACACCGATTTCGGACTATCCCTTCATATACTGACGTCACAGGTGACCTACTCAACTCTACTTCACCTGCCCAGTGTCCCGCCAAGTCTTAGACAACATGTTTTTATCGTTTAAAAAACGACTCCAGCCGAGCATGTCTCTGACCACACTATCCTTTCATATGCTTAGGACAAAGAAACAGATGAACTCTACTTCACCTGCCCTGTATCCTGCCAAGTTCAGATAGGCAACTTTATCATTCACATCTAAAAAAAAAATTGAAAAAAAATATCATTGACATATTGGTCTAGAACCTGTGCCACCCGCATGAGAGCGGACTACGCTACAAACTTAGCTATTTACTCGTGACGTCACGAATGAATTTTTATACTATACTTTGAGTCTCCTTATGCAACTTGATTTACGCGCATAGATCTAGATCTAAGTCTAGTAGTAGATCTAGTAACTTTCAAATTAAATTTTATCTTAAATTAGCCAAACAAAGATTTATATAAAATAATTAAGGCCTGAAATAGATTCTAGATGTATTAAGGCCTGAAATAGATTCTAGATGTAGAATTTACATTAAGTCTAGATCTAGAATTTACATTGAGTCTAGTGACCTTGATCTAGGCTAGATCTAGATCTAGGCTAGATTCATAACTTTCCTTCGACAGCTGATCTTTAGATCTAGAGAAATTTATTGTAAAACTAAATGAAAAAAGACAGTTGAAAATTGATATAAGTGTTGGAACGTAATAAATACAGCAAACGGACGTATTGTTAAAGTTATGACCGACAGAAAATTAGATTTAGAACGCGTTAAACTTTTGAATGGGAACACAATTTTCTTCGATAGACGCCGCCATTTTATTGTACTAAAGAGTAAACAAAAAACTGTGACGTCACGGTCCCGCCGAGTGTAGTGGTCGTTCTAAACTTTTTAAAAAAATAGGGTTACTCTACGTATGAATAAATCAATAAATTAATTAACGTCTTTAAATAAATTTGTGATTAACAGTCTGTCTGCATTAAAAAATTATTCTCTACCTACATACTATTTTACAGCTCTCCAGATAGAGTAGAACATATCTCAATACTCGATCGGACAAACAAAAAAACAAACAAATAAATATTCAAACATATAAACAAACTTGACTTTTAGTAGTATTAGATAGATAGATAATTATTATTATTGTTTGTCCAAAAATTCTTCATAAACATATTTGGTTTCATTGAGCTCAACCAGTTGGACACGTCCTGTCTTGTTTCGTGTCATGTTTTTATAAATAATGATGTTTTCTGGGAAGATAGATTTTTTGTCATTTTTATACATTATAATAAATAAATAAATAAATAAACAATAAATATCAGTCAGTATGTAACCACGACATATAGGCCTACTGCCGATAAATGTCCGTGATCCAATTACTTTCAATCAGAATTCATGTTCAATGGTTATAACCTAATGGCCAGGACTAATCATGTTCAATATTCATACCCTGATAACCATGGCGCAGTGACAATAACCCACAGACCATGACACATTTAAAATGACTTATGCCTCTTTGCCTTTATGTCACTGTCTATATATCACTGACCAAAGTACGTCACTAACCCATATCCAGTGACCTTAATCGAGTTATAGTATGTTTTATTTTTTAATAAACAA